ACCACTGGTCCTGTAAGGCTCATCCGCCCTGGATTCCCTGGATTTTCAGTTCCTATCTGTACCAGTGTACATCCTCTGGTCTAAGGGCTATCTTTTTAACCTCATTTTTTATTTTATTCGGGCTTTGGGATACGACATTTTCTCTAAATGCTAATCACTAGAATTTAACATGCAATTGGGAGGGGAAAAATAAAGAGCACTCTCTAATTGTGCCTGTAAAATTCTACGTCAATACAGAGTTGGGAGCTGTTTTCTTTCTTTAAACATGAACTGTCATGATTGAAGTTGACTGACTTTGGAGCCATTAGCATTCTAAACATACTAGACAGGAACAACTGGTTTTATTTTTAAAGAAGACACTGCTAAAATTTTTTCATAGCTGCTTATGTGTTGACCTGATTAGTATCTAAACTTTCCCAGGATGTTCAGCTGCTTCTGGTTCCCTAGTTGTGTTGGAAATTAGAACAATGTATATTGTTTCAACATTGTAATGGTTAAAAGAAGATAAATTGCCATTTAAAAGTGAAAACAACAACATTATGAGGACTATGGATGCTAACCCACTCAGATACTAAAAGACAGAGGAATTCAGTCCATCATTTGAGTGACCACATCCTCCGGCAAGTCACTGCTCGTTGGATTACTCTTTGTTTCTCGATATAAAATGTTAGCTAGTGCTGGAAGACTGAGCATTTCCACTGGATAATTTCAAGTCAAGCCAGTCGTCCATGGCATTAGTTTCCAGCAGGGTGTCAAGTCTGGGAAAATACTCAGTCCAGTAGAGGAGGAGGAACTTAAAGAGTCACTCAAACGGGCTATGTCTCCAAACACCAAGGCATTCTTACCCGTCCAAGGCTACTTTTGATTTTACACAAAGATTGCGGTTTGGTTTTAGATTCGAATCGTGATTGTTGATTGAGCTTTCTTTGAGGATTTTCCCCCAACAAATTTAAAGTCTCTTCCTTCTTTACCATTAGGGAAAGAGAGAAACAAAAGGAATTTTCATTTACCTAAGCCCTGACTTTCTAGTGGGACAAAGCCAGTCTGAGGGGTGCTGGCCGACTATGAGCCATGCAGTGCTACCACCAACTGGCTCCCTGACACACACCAGGCAGGCTCCGTGCCTCAGTCTCCTCACATTCACAGCTAAAGGATTGGTCTAGAACAGCAGTTCTCAACCTGTGGATCGTCGCTTTGGGGGTCAAGTGACCCTTTCACAGGGGTCCCCTGATTCATAACAGTAGCAAAATTACAGTTAAGAAGTAGCAAGGAAAATAATTGTGTGGCTGGGGGTCACCACCACATGAACTGTTTTAAAGTGTCGTGGCTTGAGGAAGGTGGAGACCCGCTGCTGTAGAATCAGCATTGTCCAGTGGAACTCTCTCCCCTAATAGCTATTGGGCAGTTCAAATGTAGCTAGTAGGACTGAGTTTATTTTGCTGACCTAATTTTAAAAGCCACATGTAACTTGTGGCCATAATGGACGAACAGTATTTGCCAAACTGAACCTCATGCGGCTCTTGATAAAAATACAAAACCTCTCTCCTGGTCTGCAGTGAGGCCCAAGAACCTGTTTTTAATTCATGCCCTGGAAAGGTTTATTTTTGTGTTATTTTGATTAGGGAAACAGCATGGGGAGATTTCTGAGTCTCGCGTTAGTGTTGATCTTTTAGAACTTCGTATAGTAGAAATGAGCTGTGGACAAAGTCTGCAAACTGATGAGCCTCCTGGCCCTCGTGTGACCTTGAATGAGTTATCACCTTTCTTGAAACTGGTTTTTCTTTAGGAAGCATTGCCCCTGCCTCTCCAGGGCTTCTCTAAACCTCTGGTCAGATGAGGTGACCTGGACTAAACCCATGCAAGCTGTGATAACATAAATGACAATTCTGGAGATGGGAAGATGCCCTCCTCTCTTCTGTTTCTCTTCACTGGATTACCACGTTCCCATTCCTGCTCTTACGGAACTTATTACAAGTGGTCGTCGATTGTCAGATTTCTTGTCTTCTCCACTATTTGGCCTCCGTTTACATCGAGTTGTAGAGCTGGCATACCGAGTCTCATTCTTTTTATCTCTGTGGTGCTTCCTGTATCTATTGCTCAGTCTATGTTGGGTAATAACCATCTGTTACTTTTAAACTTCAAAGCTTCAATTTGCTTATTCCAGAATATTATCTATCCCAAAGAATAATCCCCCTTGTGTATGTGTTTAATCCAGTTTTGTTATTTTTAATATTGTATGGCTGTCACCATTCGGTGATTAGTCTGTGGGGAAGTGAGAGAGAATGGAATATTTCCACTTAACTTGTGAATAGCCATCCCCAATTACACTTTTCTAATGTTAAATAGCACAAGAACATTAGCCTATTACATGTTTTTTAGCTTGTGTCAGATCAGTGTTTTGCTGAAGAACTTCTTTAACTTACTTTGACTGTTAATAAATAAATGGTCTTATTTGATTAGTTCATGTGTTTTGCACTACAGACCTAGTATTAGTGTGATTTTCATTATCTGTAAAGATCATAAGCTGATTGTGTACGTTTTTAAAACCCTGTAGGCCACTTTTTCAGACTTAATTTTGGCATTGTCATTTCATTTTTAATTAGCATTTCAGGTTCATAAGCTTGCTTTTGAAGAGCTGAAAGGCCCACTCATGTGATTTGTTTTATCATCCTTCTTATATGGTAAGTGGTGGCTTCTATTTAGAAGAGAGGGAAACTAGGTCACACATTATTACAACCAAAGTTATCTCAATCATAGACCTAGAACTTAAACCCAAAGAGTTCTGTATTTCTTCTTTCCAAGAATAGCTTCCTTCTTCAATTAAATCTTGGACTGTACTTAAAATATTCTCTCTCCTTTCATTCTCCTGGGTACTTTTCACTCTTGGTGATGTCATTGGCATAAATTTGTTCTTTTCACATTGAACTCATAAAAAACACAAGTGCAGTAATCCCAGACACTTCTTTTCCTCTCAGTCGTAAGTATGGACAGAATGATGGTGGTGCTAGTTAGGCCCCAGAGAGTAGTCCCCTCTGCTGTACGGTGTGTTTTCATCTGAAGAACGACCAGCAACAGCCAAATGGCTTTCTAATAGCTTTCTAGCTCCAACTGACTCTATACATGTTTACCCTCATGAACTGATAATTCAACATTCAAACCTGTTCTTTAAAAATACACATTCCATGGCTAAGTATAAAACTTAGGGAAATTATGTGAAACACTACT